TAAATCTAATCTTGGAAATGTATAGAAATGAGTTGATTGATTCAAGTTGAGGCACATTTACTGGTTTTTGGTTATTTAGTTATTCACAACTTCAATTTTGCATATTGTGCAAAGAATGACACTTGAACCATCTTCTCAGTGTATCAAAGGCTTTTCAACATGTGCTTCTATTTTCTGGTATTAAATCGTTTCTGTTTTATTAACTAAATCAATACAAATTTTGTAAAGTGTGCAGCAGGGGTTTTACTTAGTTATTTACAACTGAATTTTTGAGATCTCATGTTCTAGTTCACTTGCATTCAGTAGTGTTATAACTCAACTATATTAATTGTGTTCCATAAATTAATGTGATTATACAAAAACAGCTGGTTTTCTTGTCATGTGTTGGTTTCGTTGTGCAAATGTAATATGTTCTTAGCATGTGGTTCTTTCCTATTCACAGGGATGTCTTGGAATCTAGAGATTTAGAATGCAGGGCATGGGCTCGTGTTCAAAGTTGAAGTCCTCTCTTGATGAACGCAATCTTGGAATTACCAGTTAAGACAGCAAATGAAGCTGATGCCATTTCTCAACAAAGGCTAGCTGCTGCTGAGGCTGAGATTGCTGACTTGAGGCAGAAATTTGAAGCTTCCAAAAGGTTACACTTTTTCTGATGCTTGCCAAAACAAATAGTATGAATGAGTAGAGACACTTTGAACCAGTATTCTACCTCAAAGATTTGTCAAAGAATACAAAATGCAATTAAAAGACACATAACCCTCTAATCAAGAGAAATTGAAGAAAATGTTCACATTCAACAAGAAAGGGCATTCTTTAAGTCATTAGAAACCGAGACCCAAAACAATTCCCAATACTTATCCTTTATTTTTTAATTCAGTCTCCAAATTTATGCTTAAACATCTTGGTATTTCTTTCTAGACAAACCATCCAGAACATTACCATTGCACCAATCCCATAAAACTCTTACCTTTTTTCTCTCCATTATTGAAAAAGTTCAAATGAATCTAAACATTTTTCAAATCATTTGGCAAACTAAACGTTCAGATGATTTGAAATCATTCGGCAAACTAAACATTCAAATGTTTAGATTCAGTCCCTGAAAATTAAAAATGAATGTTAAAAGATTTGAGAAATGTGGGGTGTATAGAAAATGTGGGGGTGTATGTAGAAAATATAAGGTGTATATTGAGAATGTGGGGTGTGGGATTACAGGGAAGTAAGTTGGGTGTATTAAGATAAATTTTAAGTGAAAAAGCAAATGTAGGGTGTATTAAGTATATGTGGTTTATTCAACAATTTGTAGGGTGTTAATATAATAAGCCTAAAATACTGAATTGTAATTCCAAAAAGTGGAATGCGGGCCAATAATTTTAGACTTTTGTCGAATTAATAAATTGTTGGTCATTTAAATTAATATTCAATAAATCGAGACCATATAGAATCGATCGTGAAAGAAAAAATAATCATATTAGCTTTGGTAGGCTTCGGGCCATGCAATTAAGAAAATATGACCTGATAAGGCTTTAGTTGAGGACACCCCAAAATAATTGCGTGCGGTTAAGAAGCAACGAGGGCCAACAACGTTAGGCTTTGGTAAAAAACAAAAAAAAAAAAAAGGATTGTAGGCTGTTGTCAAGGCACGGTGTGGAGCAAAGGCTAGGCATTGTGGGCTCAGTGCAGGTTACTGCAAGCAGCCCAATATTCTGCAAAGTAAGCCGCAGGCTTGCTTAGTCACGGGCTGAGGAAAAACAAACGCCCAATATCACAGAAGGCTATACGTGGGATCGCGAAAAGCTGCAGGCTTGCTACTGGAACGTGGGCCGAGGGCTTCAAGCTAATCAGAGAGGGACCCAAGCATCAAGCATGCTCTGTGGCACGCGCTCAGGAAAGCTAGAGGGATGCTGCCATGATTAGGGGTGGGTTCAAATAAATGAAAACCGAAAAAAATCGAAAACTAAACCAAACCGAACCGAACAAAAATATATATATAAATTCTAAAAAACCAGTTAGCGTAAGGGTTTGAACCCCTGACCTGCAGGTTGGGTTTAGGTGCTGCAAGCCAACTTGACTGTAGTCTTTGTGTTGTTATAATTTACCAGTATGTTATTTATAGGTTTCTTATATTGAATGCTTTATAAAATTTCTTAAGCTTAAAAACCCTTAGGTGCTGCAAGCCAACTTGACTTTAGTCTTTGTGTTGTTATAATTGTACTAGTATGTTATTTATAGGTTTCTTATATTGAATGCTTTATAAAATTTCTTAAGCATAAAAACCCTTAGGTGCTGCAAGCCAACTTGACTGTAAGCTTTGTGTTGTTATAATTGTACCAGTATGTTATTTATAGGTTTCTGATATTGAATGCTTTATAGAATTTCTTAAGCTTAAAACCCTAGCCATCTCAGTGTCCCACTCTCTCAAACACTCGCTCTCTCTCCCCGCTGCTGCTTCCTCAGTCTCTCTCTCTTTCTCCCTCTCCTTCCTCTCTTCCTCCAAATCACTCTCTCTCTAGTCTTCTCTTGTCCTCCTCGCGGATTCTTTATTCCAAACAATGATTTTCCCTCGCCCCTTTCGAGACCCGACGAAAAGAGGAATTGTAAGAGCTTGTGACGATCATTGCGATATCGCTGCAGCAAAGGTTGTGGGTTTTATTTATTTTTTAGTTTATGGGTTTTTAATTTTATGGTTACCCATTTGAAATTTATGTAATTTAAGGTGGAAAAGTTTGTATTTTTCTCTGAATATGTTTTGGAATTTTCTAGATCTATTGTGGACTTGACTATGAATTTGAATGTGGGCACTGGGCATGCGATATTGGAGTCCGATTATGGCATTTAGACGAACCCATTTGCTTTTTTTTTTGTTTCGATCTGCATCAGTTAATTTGTTGAATTATTTCATGATTTTGCAAATTTTAAAGTTTTAGAATTTTGAATCCTGTACATTTCCTTGAAGTATATATGTTTTTGTATTTGCTTAAGTTTTGAAAATTTGAATTCGATCTGCTTGATCATAAGTAGTTGAAATGCTTGAATATATTCAGGATTTTGAGGCTCTCAATTATCTGATATATGAGAATTGGGAGGTTGATAGGTAAGCTCCTTCCATTTACATCATTTTTTGAAAAAAAAAAAAAAAAAAACTGAAACAACCGAAACCCGAACTGGAAAAAACCGAAACCGAAAAAAAAAAGAACCGAACTGAAATTTCGGTTCGGTTTCAGTTTTATCATAAAACCGAACTGTTTTAAACCAAACCCAGCCCTAGCCATGATCTAGACGTTAAAATGATGTCGTCGCGGTGTGCAGGCCCGAGCTGCAGGCTCGGTGCGACACAGCTCAGCGGTGCTTGGCTACAGGCCAACAAGGCACGGCTCGACGTGATTCTTTTCTTCTTTTTTTTTCTGTTTTTTTTTTTTGGGTTTTAGGGTTTTTAGAACCCAAAAATTCTTGCTTTTATTTTCTTTCAGCTTTTTTACTCACAAAAATCTATATAGAAAATATCAATTGCGTATGCATGAACATATATATTGCAGATATATACAATATATAATTGTAAAAAAATAATAATAATAGACTTGGGGCCTCATGAATGATGGGGAATATTTTCACGCAACAGTGTGTATGAAATATCACATTTGTGTTTTAGGAGAACCTGATTAGCAGAAAACTAAACCGAGCCTTTAAATGTGTACAAGAACCTCCTCCATGAAACTTCAGTTCCTTAGTATCAGACAAGATCGTGCTGATAACGTGTTGTAGGCCTATTTAACTAAAAAATTATAAAGCGGGAGAGAGGAGTTTGGCAAATAAGAGGGAGAGAGAATTTGGTGTCATTCTAATGTTATATTATCTCACCCCATTGTGCCTCTATTTATAGTATTAGAATTCTTTATTCAATAGGTATTACAACTTAAACATGATACTACCTAAAAGATATGATTGAATCCTATAAGGATTTTCTAGGATTTACGTAATTACATTTTAAACCTAATTAGAACTGCAACAGAAATGAGTATTTAAGTCCTCCAAATTTATAATTTTTTTAACCATTTTATATAATTTTTTTTCTCTTAATAAAGAAGTAGGTTTAGGGAATATGTTGGAGTAAGTCCATACCTATCCAAACAATGTGTCCTAATGTTGGTACATCTATAACGACCTTCATTTTTGACCCACTATTAGAAGTTACAATCATTGAAAATTGCATTATTAAATTAGACACTATTGTCCAATTAATGGTGACTCAGTTACGTGGGTGGGTGGGTGGATTGATGGGTGGCTTAAAGGATATAGAACTTATCCTCTTTTGTTACCATAGTTATAAGTCAATACTTCAAACCATGTATGAGAAGATAATGAAGAATCTTAGGATAAGGCAATGTATGAAAAGGAAACAACCTAGGTATAATTTCAAAAACCAAGTTTTTTAATTTTATTTAAAAAAAAAAGAATTGGGAGACAGTCGAGTGCATGGATTCTTGCATGTTGTCTAGATTAGCTGTGGTCCATAATTGCACCCATAATTTAAAATGTAAGAAAAATTGTCAATTGCTTCTTTAGTTTATTTTTTTAATAATACTTGAATTCATGTCCCACTCTTTACCAATAATGTATTTTATGGTATAAATTTTACGATCAGAATAGTTTAATTTTTTCATCTTCATTTAATATTTATTCACAAAATTTAAATAAGAGATCAATTGATCATTCAAATGTTTCAAATAAATGGACGGTTCATGAATATGTTACTTGATATTCGTACTGTCGATTTGTTTTATATTTGGATGCATAAACAATGATTGATTAGAATGACTCTTTGTAGAGATAATTTTCAAATGAAGACTAAGAAATTGTGCAATTCTGATTATAAACTTTATTATACGAAAATACGTTATTTACAACAAGTCTGAAATACCATCCTTTCCAATATTTTAGATTAAAAGCCAGTGCATGTGTGGCTTCTTTACCTAAAAATCATAGAATTTCCATGTAATCGCCTGTCATAGTTATACACATTTATAGGAAGCAAGCAATCTAATCCACATAACTCTTTATGTACATGTGTTATATTTTCCTTTGTATGTATATCTTCCCCAAAAGAATGTGCCAATTAGCTTAATTACATTTACACGAAACTTCTTCGAAATTATTATCCGTAAGTTTCTTTTGCTCTTCTTCTTGTCCTCCTCTTTTTCTTCCTCAAAATCTGTGGGTGCAGGTAGTGACGAACAAATGCTTCTGGGTGGAAGCTCGATCACAAATTATGACAACTACACAAAAAGGGAAGATAGCTGGGTGATCATGGAAGGAAATCATGATGATCATGATGATATGTACGACACAACATTCTCGACGTCGATTTCGAATAGATCATCGACATCTTCATCGGACTTAGTAGATGATGCATCTTCACCATCAACATCATCATCATGTTCTTCTTCCTTTCATTCTCATGGATCGTTGCTCGACTTGTCAGATCTCATGGCTCAGCTACCCATCAAGTAAGAACAGAGAAAAAGAAAGCCCATCTCAATTCTCATCATGACTATATTTCTACTTTCTTTTCCATTAATTTATAACCACGCACGATATTTAGTTTTAGGTTTTGGATGTTGGATAGTTTTTGCATTGTTTTGGATGTTCGATAGTTTTAGCATTCAGGTATATTAGTATATATTTCCAAATTTCCATAAGTTTATATTGTGTTATGAAAAAAGAAAAGAAACATCTAATTTAATTAGTACCAAAATCTTCCATTTTCCACAAAATGCATGAAAGAATGAAACATTTGATTAAGTAGGCAGAATATAGATTAGATCAGCTGGTTAGGATAGTATAATCGCTCTCTGAAATCCAAATTTAAATCTCTCCTCCCATATCTGAATAGTTTAGAATATCCTCTTTCAAAAGGTTTTGTTAACTTTCTGCTAAATTTCTTATTATACATGTACAGGAGAGGACTTTCAAAGTATTTTGAAGGCAAGTGCCAATCCTTTACACGTTTATCAAAGGTAAAGAGCATTGAAGATCTTGCAAAGAAAAAGTCTCCATATAATCAAAGAAAGGCACTAAAAGGAAGCAAGAGCTATGGCGGTGGCTTGGGTTCTTACAGATCGTACACACTTCCGAAGGCCACCATTTCTAAGAGTAAGAAGGCATCAACTACTTCATCTTTTTCGAGCAGATCAAGAGGCAGCACTTTTGGCATAAATAACATCACGCTCCCTCCAACTCCAGTAAGAAAGTAGTTGTAACGTACGTACGTACGTGTGCCGGTGTGCATGTAAACTACACAATGTATATACTTGTTAATTTTTTTTTATTTTTTTAATGGAAGTAGACTTTGTTAGTATTTTGAACCTCTCCTGTTTGTTAGTCTTGCTACTATCTTTTACACTGAGGAATCAGATATTATATTTGTTCTTCAGCTGCGTATGTTAAAATCTGGAATTTAGAATATAGGCATATTCCATGCATGATCTGAGAAAAAAAGGAAAGAAGATTGGGATAAATACAAATTGAATTTTACATGAACGGTTCATCTTAGAAAACTCGACTTGTATAATTAGGGATGACAATGGAGGGGAGCAGATTGAGTTTGCTTGCCCTTCCATTCGGGCCGATTTGCCTCCCGTGAGGGTCCGTTTGGTGGGCTGGATGAGATTGAGCCTTATAATAAGATTGGATTGACATAGATTGATTAGGCTTTGAATCCCACTCCATTATTTGGTGAAACATGGATTGGACTTAAATCCAGTCGACTATTTGGTAAATGACTAAATTGGACTTAACTTTTTTTTAATTTTCATTTATTCAATATCACGTATAATTAATCAAAGCAAATAAAACAACCACAACTTTGATAATAAGAAAATCATGTGAAGATACATCCAAAAAGTACGATTTTTGGAATATGACAAAGTCCAAATTAAAATTCCATAACAAAGTTAAATTCTTAAAAATCCAACTAGAAAATAGAACAAAATCCAAATGTCTTAAAATTCAACTAGAGAATATAAAAAGCAACTACATCTAAGTCATGAGCTCTACAATAAAAAAAAGTCATGAGCTCTACAATAAAAAAAAAGTCATGAGCTCTACGATCGATCTCCATGGAGTGTCCTCACATACTCGAACCTATCTTCACTTTCATCTAGTGTTCTCGAACACACACACTTTTGCCAGATCCGTAAACAGGGTAAGGTAATCCGATCTCTAATTGAAAACCCCATCTCTTTGAGCTCTTGTCCCTCAAACTTATGGTCATCATTTTCGCCCTGCTCCTTCAACCCATCAGCCAACTTGTGCATTTTAGAATCATGACCCTCCACCATATTCTCTAGTACACTAGCAATTTTGCCCAAGCCATCCAAAACTTTGCTCGGCCTTTCTCTGTCCTACTTCTACATGCGGATGATTAATTAAAAAGAGGTGGGTAGAATGAAACACGATGACTTCCCAAGAGGTCACCCATCCTAGAACTACTCTCGCCCAAACTTGATTAACTTCGCAACAGTTAGTTTGTGAGTTATAATTGTATATAACCATTTCCTTTAACCATGACCTTGTAACCTTGTGCATGTGCAAATCACACCAGCCCCCAGACGATCTGGTGAAAATAAAAAATATTAATCAAAACGATCACACGAAATTCAAAAATAGGAATAAATAGTCTTTCCATTCTTTCATTTCATCTCCCAAGCACGAGACTCAGTTATAAATCACGCCAAATTCAAAAATACTAATCAAAATGATCACATGAAATTTAAAAATAGGAATTAATAGTCTTTCCCATTCTTTTCTTTTGTCTCCCAAGCACGAGACTCAGTTATAAATGACGCACGTCACAAATAAGCCGCTAAAAATACTCAAAAATGGTTTAAAATGATAGGCATCACAAATAAGCCGCTAAAAATATGCAAAAAATGATTATGAAAAATAAAAAATAAAAAAGATGTGGGGGAATGCAACACAAGGACTTCCTAGGAAGTCACCCATCATAGTACTACTCTCGCCCAAACTCAATTAACTTTGAAGTTCTGTTGGGATCCGATGCATATAAGTTGGTATGATCACATCTGTTAGTCTACGACTTGTAAATGTAAATGTATATAACCATTTCTTTTAACCATGGCCATGTAACCTTATACATGTGCAAATCACACCTGCCCCTAAACAATCACACGAAATTCAAAAATATTAATCAAAACAATCACACGAAATTAAAAAATAGGAATTAATACTTTTCTCATTCTTTTCTTTTATCTCCCAAGCACGAGACTCAGTCATAAACGACACGCGTCACAAATAAGCTGCTAAATATACGCAAAAAATAATTATGAAAAATAAAAAAAAAGGTGGGAGGATGCAACATGAAGACTTCCCAGAAGGTCACCCATCCTAGTAGTACTCTCTCTCCCAAACATGCTTAACTTCAGAGTTTTGATGGGATCCGGTGGAAGTGAGTTGGTATGATCGCATCCGTTAGTCTATGACCTGTAATAATATATAACCATTTCTTTTAACCATGACCCCGTAACCTTATGCATGTGCAAATCACACCAGCCTCCAAACGATCATGCGAAATGAAAAAAATATTAATCAAAACGATCACACGAAATTCAAAAATAGGAATTAGTGGTTTTTCCCATTCTCTTCTTTCATCTCCCAAGCATGAGACTCAATTATAAACGGCCTGCATCACAAATAAGCCGCTAGAAATATGCAAAAAAGAATCATGAAAAATAAAAAAGAGGTAGGGGAGCCAACACGAGCACTTCCCAGAAGGCAACACAAGCAAGTAAGTTGGTATGATCGCATCTGTTAGTCTATGACTTGTAATTGTGTATAACCATTGCTATGAACCATGACTCTGCGACCTTATGCATGCGTAAATCACATCGGCCCCCAAACGACCATGCAAAATTCAAAAATATTAATCAAAACAATCACACAAAATTCAAAAATAGGAAATCAGAGTCTTTTCCATTCTTTTCTTTCATATCCTAAGCACGATACTTGGTTCTAAATGACGCGTGCCATAAATAAGACACTAGAAAGACGCACAAAAGAATTATGAAAAATTAAAAAGAGGCGGGGGAATGCAACACGATGCAACATGAGGACTTCCCAAGAGGTTAGCCATCCTAGTACTACTCTCGCCCAAACTCGCTTAACTTTGAAGTTCTAATGGGATATGGGGCATATGAGCTGGTATGATCTCTTCTGTTAGTCCATCACTTGTAATTGTACATAACCATTTCTTTGAACCACGACCCTGCAACATTAGGCACATGCAAATCACATAGGCCCCCAAACGATCACACAACATTCAAAAATATTAATCAAGACGATCACATCAAATTCCAAAATAGGAATTTATAGTCTTTCCCCTTCTTTTCTTTCATCTCTCAAGTACGAGACTCGGTTATAAACGATGCACGCAACAAATAAGCTGCTAGAAATAAGCAAAAAAAAAAAAAAATTATGAAAAGTAAAAAAGAGGTGGGAGGATGCAACACGAAGACTACCAAGGACATCACCCATCCTAGTACTACTCTCGCCCAAACACGCTTAACTTCGGACTTCTGAAAGGATCTGGTGCATGTGAATTGGTATGATCGCATCCGTTAGTCTATGACTTGTAATTGTATATAACCATTTTTTTGGCCAGGACTCCGTAACCTTTATGCATGTGCAAATAACAGCGGCCCAAAATGCTCACAAAAATTCAAAAATATTAATCTAGACGATCCCACGAAAATAAAAAAATAGAATTAATAGTCTTTCCCATTCTTTTCTTTCATCTCCCATGCACGAGACTCAGTTATAAACGACGCGCACCACAAATAAGCTGCTAGAAATACCTCCCAAGCATGACACTCGGTTATCCACGACGTGCACCACAAATAAACCGCTAGAAATACGCAAAAAAGAATTATGAAAAATAAAAAAGAGGTGGGAGGATGCAACACGAACACTTATGAGGAGGTTAACCATCCTAGTACTACTCTCGCCCAAACTTGCTTGACTTCGGAGTTTTGATGGGATCCGGTGCATGTGAGTTGATATGGTCGCATCTATTAGTCTATGACTTGTAATTACATATAACCATTTCTTTGAACCATGACCCTGCAACCTTAGGCACATGCAAATCACACCGGCCCCCAAACGATCAAGCGAAAGTAAAAAATATTAATCAAAACGATCACATGAAATTCAAAAATAGGAATTTAGAGTCTTTCCCACTCTTGCCCAAACTCGCTTAACGGCGAACTTCTGAAGGGATCCGGTGCATGTGAGTTGGTATGATCGCATCCGTTAGTCTATGACTTGTAATTTTATATAACCATTTCTTTGGAGAGGACCGCGTAACCTTTATGCATGTGCAAATCACAACGGCCCAAAATGATCACACAAATTCAAAAATATTAATCTATACGATCCCACAAAAATCAAAAAATTGAATCAACAGTCTTTCCCATTCTTTTCTTTCATCTCCCATGCATGAGACTCGGTTATAAACGACGCAAACCACAAATAAAATGCTAGAAATACAAAAAAAAGAATTATGAAAAATAAAAAAGAGGTTAGGGGATGTAACACAAGGACTTCCCAGGAGGTCACCTATCATAGAACTATTCTCCACCCAAAGTCGGTTAACTTTGGAGTTCTGATGGGATCTGGTGCATATGAGTTGGTAAGATCGCATCCATTAGTCTATGACTTGTAATTTTATATAACCATTTCTTTGGCCATGATGCCGTAACCTTTATGCATGTGCAAATCACCAGCTCAAAATGATCACACAAAATGACAAAATATTAGTCAAGACGATCCCAAGAAATTCAAAAAATAGAATTAATAGTCTTTCCCATTCTTTTCTTTCATATCCCAATGCACGAGACTCGGTTATAAGCGATGTGCACCACAAATAAGCTGCTAAAAATACTCAAAAAGGAGTTATGAAAAATAGAAAAAGAGGTAGGGGATGCAACACGAGGACTTCCCGAAAGGTCAAAAATCCTAGTATAACTCTTGCCCAAACTTGCTTAACATCGGAGTTTTGATGGGATATGGTGCATGTGAGTTGTTTTGATCGCATCTAACCTTTATGCATGTGCAAATCACACTGACTCAAAACGATCACACAAAATTTAAAAAATATTAATCAAGACGATCCCACGAAATAAAAAAAAGAAGAATTAATAGTCCTTCCCATTCTTTTCTTTCATCGGCCAAGCACGAGATTCAGTTATAAACGACGTGCGTCACAAATAAGTCACTAAAAATACGCAATTATGAAAAATAAAACAGAGGTAGGGAGATGCAACATGAGGACTTAACAGGAAGTTAACCATCCTAGTACTACTCTCGCCCAAACTCACTTAATTTCGGAGTTTCGATGAGATCCGGGGCATGTGAGTT